TAAAAAAAGAAAAAAGGGGAAGTGCTGTGGATATTGCTCTATATAAATAAAACACTGATGGCCAGTGACCAGGCAGGAAGTAGGTTGCCAGGCAGGAAGTAGGTGGGACAAGGAGAGAGGAGAATGCTGGGAAGCGGAAGGCTGAGGAGGGAGACACTACAGCCACCACCAGGAGAAGCAGCATGTAAAGACTCTGGTAAACCACCAGCCATGTGGCAAGGTATAGATTTATAAAAATGGGTTAATTTAAGATAAAAGAACAGTTAGCAAGAAGCCACGGCCATACAGTTTGTAAGTAATATAAGCATCTGAATGATTATTTTATAAGTGGATTGTGGGACCGCGGGGCTTGGGGAACCTGGAGAGAAGCCCTCCAGCAACAGTTTCCTTTAAAATATCTGATATGTTATGACTTACCAAATCTGTGTAGAACAGTAGAAATCCGAGGAAATTTCAAAACAGCTACCTAGTGTCTGAAGTGTGAATCCAGAGAGAGAGAGAGAGAGAGAAAGAGAGAGAGAGAGAGAGAGAGAGAGAGAGAGAGAGAGAGAGAGAGAGAACAAGAAAGCATAACCGGCTAAAGCTTAAATCTAGCCACGTGTTCCCCTTGAGCCAAGTCAAGGCTTGGCTCTGGCTTCCTTAAGCTCCTTAAGCATTGGCTTTACAGGCAGGGACCCTGTTCGGCAGGGCAGGCCTGAGTTGTTTGTAGCAGCTCACGGTTAGTCTGGCCTAAAGCCAAGCAGACCTGGGCCCAGGCTAGGAAGCTGGCTGCTTGGACTAGGGAGCCAACCACCTGGGCTAGGGAGTCGGCCCTTGCGGGAAACCGGACCTGCCGCCAAGCCAAGCGGTTTTTATCGGATTCTTGTCATGTTGGGTGCCAAATGTAGATGTAACCAACCGTCTTATTAAAATAAGAAGCACAGAACCAAAGTAAAAGAGAAAGCTGAGAGGTCAGAGCTCAGAGCTAAAATCTTACCTCCTACAGTGCTCCTACCTCCCCGAAAGAGAGCTACTTCCTGTATGTATGTCTTTAAATAGTCTTTCTGTTCTGCCTTCTCATTGGTTATAAACCCAAACACATGACTGCCTCGTCACTGCCTCTAAGTACAGCCCACCAGGTCTTAAAGTCATATGTCTCCAATGCTGGTTGTATCCCTGAACACACAGAGATCTACCTAGCTCTTTTACCAAGTGCTGGGATTAAAGGTGTGTGCCACTGCTGCCACCACCATGCTCTTGCTATGGCTCTAATAGCTCTGACCCCCAGGCAACTTTATTTATTAACATACAATGAAAATCACATTTCAGTACAAATAAAATACCACCATAGATGACTTTTTGTTTCGTTTTGTGTTTGAACAGGTAACATATACATTACATGTTCTGTAGTTTTTCTGGATTTATTTCTTTTATGACTCTAGCAAGGATCGAACATACAAACCTGGAATGAATCGACAGCTCTCATTTCCTGAGGAAATAAAAGCACAACCTGTTCCCCAAAGTAACATATTTTTACTTCCATTTTGAAGTCAAGATGTTTTTAAAATATATAGGTTGGTTTAATCCAGCAGTTTTCATAATCCAATGTGTCTTAGCAGCTCTTGTTCCTTCATTAGCAATCACAAAAATCTGAAGATAATACAATAACATGCAGGATCCAGACTCTGTGTAGTTCCCACCTTTATGTGGCTTATTTTATTTTATTTTATTTTATTTTATTTTACCCCCTTTTTAAAGACTTTATATTTTTAAACTATTTTTTGTTGTATGACTGTATATGCCTTCTCTTTTCTCTCCCAAGCCTATGTATGTTTTTAAACACACTGTAACCCATTTAGAGGTTTTTTTCCCATATGGATCTATCTTTATGGAGCATCTGTATTATTTGGTTGCATGAGACCAATCTTAAACTGCTGTTATTTGCCTGGCACTGCTTGGCTTAGTGCATACATTGGCTCATGGCATTTGCAACTGGCTCCTCCCCTCTTGGTTCCCTGAGAGCCTGGCTTCATGGCCAAGGGACTGGCATGAACCACATTCACCGCCCCAGCTCTGGGAAGTTGTTGGGTCCATGCTGCTGCCTAGCTGCTCATTAACCCCAGGTCAGCATCCAGGAGCAGGCCTCTTGAAAGAGCCATGTTCATGTTTGCCACTAGCACCCAGCCAGGAAGCTGCCTCTTAAAGGAACCACATCTCTGTTTGCTGCTAGCACCCAGCCAACCCAACAAAAGGCAGTCACCAAGAAGCTGCAATTGACTCTGCTTGTGTATTTGGAACCCTTTGGTTTTTTAAGCTTCCTCAGGTTTTATGTGGATCTACATTGCCACACGTTTCTATCTTAAGTAATAAAATGTTTGTCCTATGTATACATTCCTGCAGAGAATGTTCATGAATATAACACCAATAAAATGTTTCAGTTCATTTAAAAGCTGTGACTGCTGCATTGGTCATCTAGTGACTGGCTGCACAGTACACGTCATTCTTTCACAAATCTGCAAAATCCTTTCTATGGATGGATCCTACAGACACTTTGAAGAATCCCAAAATAGCCTGTAGTACTAACACTTAGCAAGCACAGCACCAGATACAAGACACAGAATTTCTTGGATTAACAGGATTAAATCACTATAAATTTTGATAAAATTTACAATATTCATCCTCATGCTTCCAGTCATGATAATAGTAAAATAAATTTTACAAATAATAATTAAAGCCATTTTTTTCAGTGCTTTAGAGATGGTTCACTTAAGAGCAGTAGCTGGTTTCACTGGGGATCCGGGTTCAATTCCTAGCAACCATACTTTGGTTCAGAACCGTAAGTCTTACTCTAGTCAGTAACAGGGCATTTGATGGTCTCTTCCAGACCTTAGAGTTACCAGGCATGCACAAGTTACACAAACATAATGCAGACAAACTATTCATACACAAGAAATGAATACAAATATAGAAAAGCTAAAAAAATTAAAGTCCCTTCAAAAGGGTGACAATATATAGAATGAGGTTCTATATCACTATAATATGCTAAGGTCTCCCTCTTTCTCTGCTCAAGGCTTGAGTTACCAGAAAGACTGTCTGAAAATAAACACATGCTTAAACGTTAGTTGGGATTTTGTCTTATCCACAGTATTGTAGATCTGAAAGCTGTTTCACACTCATTGAACAGATAAATGAGAGACACATTTTCTCAATTTCTCCTACTGAGCATGCCAACACTCAGCCATCCCTGATGGAAGTCCATCCCTGTGAATCAGCACAAGGGGGCTGAAGACTGCATAACCAAGGACCATAAATTCCCGAATAATTATTATCTCAGAATTGTTCCCTGAAGAGAGACTTAAAAATAGAGAAAAAGCACAGTCAGTCCAGTAGAAGAAAACAAAACAGAGCATCAGAAGGAGGACACTCTGGGCAGCTCTCAGCTCAGGGGGAGTTCTGTAGAGAAGCTTGGCCTTCTGAAGGTAGAGGAC